AAAAACACGCACACCGTGCACATCAGTTATAAGGCGGACAGCTGTGAGAAGGATGGAAGTGTCTAGAGATCTCGTTAGGGGCTGTTTGCTTTACGACTTCAAAGTGGGCTTATCAGCAGCTGCATCAAGTCGCCGCATATGTCAAGCGTTTGGGGATAGTGCTGTGGATGAACGTACTGCAAGGCGTTGTTTTCGAAGATTCAAGTCTGGAGATTTGTCTCTCCATGATGAGCCTCGCAGTGGACGACCACAGGTCTTGAATGACGGAGTCCTGAAGGCGGCCATTGAAGAGGACAGTAGTCTAACATGTGGTGAACTTGCAAAACAGTTCAACGTTTCTGATGAAATAGTTAGACTTCCCCTGCACCGCCTAGGTAAGACGTAGAAACTGAGCAAGTGGGTTCCGCAAACGCTGTTGGAGGTCCCCAAGGGACAACGAGTGGCAGCCTGCGTATCGCTGCTTTCTTGCCACCGTACCGCATTCAATCGAGTGCTTACCAGTGATGAAAAGTGGGTTCTGTACGAAACTCCCAAGCGTTCCAGACATTGGTTGTCTCTTCAGGATGCTGTCCCTCACACCGCAAGACTGCCTATGCACCCACGCAAGATTATGCTTTGTGTCTGGTGGACAGGTCGTCAAGTGGTTCATTATGAACTGCTACCAACGGGCCAAACGGTCACTGGGGACCTATACGCGCAGCAATTAAAACGTTTGCAACAGGCATTGCGCCAGAAGGAGCCAGCATTGGTGAATCGCAAAGGTGTGCTTTTCCTCTATGACAACGCCAGGCTGTATGTCGCGCGAGTGGTCACGGATACCATACCGCAACTTGGGTGGGAGACTTTGTGCCATCCACCTTATTCACCTGACCTTGCGCCATCCGATTACCACCTCTTCCATTCCCTGGATAATCATATTCATGGGAAATCCTTCACCAATGAAGCAGACTTGCTCAAAGCCCTCACGGACTTCTTTGCGTCAACCACCCCCCCGAGTTCTACCGCAAGAGCATTGGACAGCTGGAGACACGTTGGCAGAAGGTGCTGGATGCCGATGGCGATAAGTTCGAAGACTAAATATAAGTTACACATACTGTGAAGCGTTTTCTTTTTTCCTTTAAAAACGGACAGAACTTTTTTGGTTACCTTGTACTATCGTATTAAAGAACAAAAGAAATTAAACATTTCCAATGAAAATTTTACATATATACATATTACGGATATATATATATATATATATATATAGTCATCAACAGACAGACTGTTTCGCTGTATCACAGCTCATCTGTGTGGCTAGACGTCCGGTTGCCTCTAGCTAGGATCGAAACCCGACCGAATTGGCGTCAGTCGGGGGATTCTACCACAAAGCCGTTGGCGCACGGCAGGGATGTAAGTGAATTTAAGCGTATTTATTTTTAGATAAACACACAGTGACTGAGAGAACTCGATTCACTTTACTGAAGAGTCTTGCATTATTAGCCGTAATAGTCACTGTTTACAAACCCACACTTCCCCTCTAAATTTTTCAGGAGCATATATATTGTCATCCACATACAGATTGTTTCGATGTATCACAGCTCATCAGTGTGACTAGACGACCAGTAAAGGAATATACATAATACTTTACATTGATTGCACAACTCTGAGTTTCGTGCCTAAGCAATTATCAAGTGATGGTATTGTTGTTTTGGTGTAACCATGGTTTAATAACATTTCTGGTTATCATGCGATATATGAATTTGTTAACGATCGCCAGAAATCGTTTAATTTTTTATCAACACTTGCAGCATTATGCCTAACCATAAAACTAACCTTGATCATAAAATATATATATATATATATATATATATATATATATATATATATATATATATATTTCAAACTTTACTTTCGTTGAAGTAGAAGCGGCAGCCGCGTAAGTCAGCGTTATTTTTTTACATCCTTTTGATATTTTTGAAATTACATGATGTTTAAATACATAATGTCAATTACATGATGTTTTAATATCATAATGTCAATTTATGAACCAGTAACAAACTTTTAACAAACAATTTTTATGCTTATGAATATTTACTAGACAGGTTGGCGGTGGAAAATGTTTCCATGCGAAAGGGGGTGATGACGCGTAAAAGGTTGCAGACCCCTGAAGTAAATACTTATCGATGCAACCATCCATATAATACTAAATGTTTAATCTTGTATGCATGTATGTGTATTTACGAGATACATCTTAAACAATCGTTACCAATTTAGGAATATATCATACCTTGAATCCATTCCAAGTGCAATGGATAATTTCATTAAATTTAGATAATGGGCCCTGTTTCTTCGACATTTCTAATAGGAAATTATGTATTTGCTTCCAATACACCATTCTTATATTAATCCGTGTATATAAACAAACAATCGCATATTATATTCTAAAAATTATCTGTCTGAAAAATAATAAACATGCATAACACATTATAACATTATTAATAAATAAATTAAAAAATGCATAACACGAGATATATATATATATAATTCACTACACTCTAGTAGAACCTTTTTTATAAATATCTCTGAAGTTTGGCAATTATTTGATAGGTGAAGACGTCCACTATTTCGGCATAAATTTTCTATATTGAAGTTTAAATGTGTGTGTGTGTGTGTGTGTGTGTGTGTGTGTGTGATCTATTAAAAACGTAATCTGTAGAAACTATGGAATTTGAAAGTGTATCACGTGACGTGATAGAAATTTGTAAACAAACAAATTTATCGATTCATTCTTCTTTGCCACCGTTACGTATTTTGAAATAAATGTCTGCCATAAACATGTATGTATAAAAAAAATATAATTATTATTTAGAAAAAATACATAGAAAAAATGAAAATAAATGCGTTAATAAGAAGTATTTAAACATCATGTAATTTCAAATAAATATGAATCTCCCAAAGGAAACGATTACCGTTTTGTTTTTGTTTTTGTTTAATTTTTTTTAATAAAAGCTTTAGCTTTGAAAATTATAATATGATAAATACTAAAATTGGTATAAATAGTAAAAATAGTATAAATAGTAAAATTGGTATGAATTGTCATCCAGCAACTATTATTTTAAATGTGAGGCCTTTAGTGTGATATCAGTTCGCAATTCCAGTCTCAAAATAAGCAAACTTTTTCCTGCAGGGCAACGTTTGCATTAAAGAAATGTTTCAAATTAATGCTAGGCTATCGTCCTGGAACAATGATAAGCCAACCTCATTCTGGTATTGACAATTAATTGTTCGTTCTGAGAGTCTGGCATTTGATAATTCTATTATTGAATTCCCAGATGAATTTCATTAAGTTAAAGCAGCGATTTCTTTTCACAAATTCTAAAAACCTTTCTACTTATTAATTTATTATTGCGTTTGATCTAAGTAATATTGACTAATTAGAGTAATAATAACTATTACAGTATCTTGTATTGCAAATAGAAATAAAAATATTTGTAATTAATAATAAAATGAATAATATTGTTGCCCCATCATTTTATATCGTTAAATGCTTTTAAATGGAACCCAACGAGTTAATGGCTAATCTAGTAATAAAATAAAAGACTAATTTCGACATTAAATTACCCAACAAAGATGACATATCGTAGGAAGCAACCAACCCAATCTCAAACCTGCTTGCCTGTTTTAATATCAGCCTTTTTAATCTTTCTTTTGACATGGCGCCATTGGGAAGTCCCAAATGATCTCAGAAAGCTGAATGGGTCAGCGGTATTAGAGAATCGTATGTCATATTCTCTTATTTGAATGTGGTTTTAGAGTGACGGAGTAAGGAGAAACAGGGTGTGGGGGAAGAAAGAGTAAAGTTTGGTGGCGAGTGAAAGAGAGTAAGAAGGAACACGGGGTGGAGGAAAAGAAAGAGTAAAGATTGGTACTGAGTGAAAAGGAAAAGGAAGAAAACAGGTTAAAGAAAGAGTAAAGATTGGTGGTGAGGGAAAAGGAGAAAGAAAGAAAAACAAAATAACAGATGTGAATGTGGGTGAGAAAGAAAAACAGGAAAATAAAACATAGAGAGAGAAAATAGAAGACAGATTAATAGAGTGATTGTAAGAGAGAAAGAGAATATAAAATTAAGGTGAAAAAAGAGAGGAAAAAAAAGGCCAAAGAATGATTTAAGTTTTATAGTGAGGGAAAATTGGTAAGTATGGACTATTACTAGAACGGGAGTGAAAATAAAGAAAAACGAAAGAGATTAAAAAATATGAAAGGTTATGAAAAAGGAAAAAAAGGGGGAGGGGGCTAAAGGGAAGGGAATGTGAATATTGGCTGAAAGATATTCATTTAGATTTATGAAGAGAAGGAAATTGCTGAAAAGCAAGAGATGTAAGAACATATTGAAAAATTCATGAAATGATTGGGAGGAATAATAGATAAACATATATATATATATATATATATATATATATATAGAGAGAGAGAGAGAGAGAGAGAGAAAGTTAAATAAATTGAGATAGATAACGAAAAAGATAATGTACAGACTGAAATAGATAGATAGATAAATAGATAGATAGATGGAGAATGAGTGAGTGAGTGAGTGAGTGAGTGAATGAATGAGTGAGTGAGTGAATGAGTGAGTGAGTGAGTGAGTGAATAAGTGAGTGAGTGAGTGAATGAATGAGTGAGTGAGTGAGTCAATGAGTGAGTGAGTCAATGAGTGAGTGAGTGAGTGGGTGAATGAGTGAATGATTGAGTGAGTGAGTGAGTGAATGAGTGAGTGAGTGAGTGAGTGAGTGAGTGAATGAATGAATGAGTGCGTGAGTGAGTGAGTGAGTGAATGGAGGAATGAGTGAGTGAGTGAGTGAGTGTGTGAATGAGTGAGTGAGTGAATGAATGAATGAGTGAGTGAGTGAGTGAGTGAATGAATGAGTGAGTGAGTGAGTGAGTGAATGAATGAGTGAGTGAGTGAGTGAGTGAGTGAGTGAGTGAGTGTGATTGAGTGAGTGTGATTGAGTGAGTGAGTGAATGAG